TATGGTAAGCTAAGGTTAATTTATTATTGAAGAAAGAAAGTATTTTTAAATAAATTTAGTGTAAGCCGGGCATCGTGGCTCACACCTGTAATCCCAGCACTTTGGGAGGCCGAGGGGTGGCGGGTGGGGGGGGGGGGGGTGGATCATGAGGTCAGGAGTTCAAGACCAGCCTGGCCAAGATGGTGAAACCCCATCTCTACTAAAAATACAAAAAATTAGCCAGACGTGGTGGTGGGCGCCTATAATCCCAGCTACTTGGGAGGCTGAGGCAGAGAATTGCTTGAACCCGGGAGGTGGAGGTTGCAGTGAGCTGAGATCACGCCACTGCACTCCAGCCTGAGCGACAGGGAGACCCCGTCTCAAAAAAAAAAAAAAAAAAAAAAAAATTAGCGCAGCCTGAGTGTCCAGTGTTTATAAAATCTACAGGACTTTACTGTACAAAGTCCTAGGCCTTCACATTCACTTACCACTCACTGATTCAACCAGAGCAACTTCTAGTCCTGCAAGTTCCATTCATGGTAAGTACCCTATACAGGTGTACTATTTTTTATCTTTTTTATACTATATTTTTACTGTACTTTTTCTTTCTTTTTTTTTTTTAAAGTAGAGACAGGTCTCAGGCTGGTCTCAGACTCCTGTGCTCAAGCAATCCTTCTGTCTCAGCCTCCCAAAGTGTTGGGATTACAGGTGTGAGCCACTGTACCCAGTCTGTACCTCTTTTATGTTTAGATACACACATACTTACCATTGTCTTATGACTGCCTACAGTATTCAGTACAGTAACATGCTGTACAGGTTTGTAGCCTAGGAGAAATAGACCATCTAGGTTTGTGTAAGTACACTCTATGACAGTGGAACCCAACCTTTTTGGCACCAGGGGCCTGTTTTGTAGAAGACAATTTTCCACAGATGGTGGGGAAGATGGTAGTGGGATGAAACTGTTCCACCTTAGATCATCAGGCATTAGTGAGATTCTCATAAGGAACATGCAACCTAGATCCCTCACATGCGCAGCTCACAACAGGGTTCCTGCTCCTACGAGAGTCTAATGCTGCTGCTGGTCTGACAGGAGGTGGAGCTCCGGCCGTAATGCTCACCTGCCTGCTGCTCACCTCTTGCCATGTGGCCTGGTTCCTAACAGGCCACGAACTGATACTGATCCATGGCCCCTGAGGTTGGGGACTCCTGCTCTATGATGTTTGCATAACAATGAAATAGCCTGATGACTTGATGTATTTCTCAGGATGTATCCCCATCTTTAAGCGATGCATGACTTTGCAATATAGACCCCATTAAGCCTTGGCCAACCCAGCAGGGAGCTCTGGAGTGAGCACTGCCCACTGGAGTTGTCCCATGTTTGGCCCAAATGACTGAGGCTTTACATCCCTACCTTTCTTAGTCAGCACATGTGGGCTGCCTTGGGAAAGGCCTGACCTCAGTCAAAAGGGTTCTCTCCAGGAAGAGTTGATACCTGTAGTCATTCTGCTGATAACACCCCTATAGCTGGGCAGCAAATCCTTCCTTGAAAGGAGATTCGGTGGTACCACTCTGTCTACCACAAGTGGTGGTCCACTTGGATGACTTGGGCCCCTAAGGTCCTGGAAGAATATTGAAGAGTTGGTGGTGTTGGGGGTTGTGGGGAAATCATAAGGGAGTATTCTGAGTAAAGAATATACTCATTTGATAGGCAGACGAGTCATATTGTCTGTAGGAGATGTAAATACAGAGAGGTTTTTGTTTGTTTGTTTGTTTGTTTTTTTACAGAGTCTTGCTCTGTTGGCCAGGCTAGAATACAGTGGTATGTTCTTGGCTCACTGCAACCTCTGCCTCCTGGGTTCAAGCATTCTTCTACCTCAGCCTCCTGGGTAGCTGAGATTAGAGGCATGCACCACCACACCCGGCTAATTTTTGTATTTTTCAGTAGAGATGGGATTTCACCATGTTGGCTAGGCTGGTCTTGAGCTCTTGGCCTCAAGTGATCTACCCACCTCGGTCTCCCAAAGTGCTAGGATTACAGGTATGAGCAACCCCACCTGGTTAATAGAGAATTTTTCTTCTAGAACTTTTTGATGTGCTCCATCTGGTTACCTTGGAGCATAAGCAGTGGACAGATGGAGGTAACACTAACAGCCCCTTCAGCAGCAGCATATACATTGGGAGAGCAGATTAGTAATCAGGTGACTAAATGTGTAGAGGCAGAAAATCTCTTTGTAAAACACGGTAAAAGAGATGGATGTGGATTGGTAAAATAATATAAAGGCAGAAATGTCTATCAGAGGATGGTGTTATGGTCAGAAGAAAAGAGGAAGTCTTCATTAATTTATTAAAAAGATGAGCCTTGCAGAGTGAGGATTAGCCAGGTAAAGAAGAAGGAGAAGAGAATTCTAAGCCAAGGGCTCCAAGGCATGGGACCCTGTGCCTTTGTCATGGTGCCACTCATATCCAGGTCCCCCTTTGTCTTTCCTTTTACTGAAGAGAACAGACATGAGGGCAGTGGTTGAGTACAGTGTCTATGGCCTGATGGTGCAACTGTGAGAACTTGGAACACTGAGCATGAAGGCACATGAGGGGTCAGGTGAGGTGCGGGTCAGGTAGGGTCCAGATGTGGAGAACTTTTTTTTTTTTTGAGACAGAGTATTGCTCTGTAACCCTCGCTGGAGTGCAGTGGTGTGATCTTGGCTCACTGCAACCTCTGTCTCCAGGGTTCAAGTGATTCTCCTGTCTCAGTCTCTGGAGTAGCTGGGATTATAGGCATGCACTACCACGCCCAGCTAATTTTTTGTATTTTTAGTAGAGGCAGGGTTTCTCCATGTTGACCAGGCTGGTCTCGAACTCCTGACCTCAGGTGATCCTCCCGCCTTAGCCTCCCAAAGTGCTGGGATTACAGGCATGAGCCACTGCACCCGGCAGACGTGGAGAGCGTTATGTACTGTTTCAAGGGGTGTAGACTCCTTCTACGGGCAAAAGGACATCTTTGCAGGGCTTAAGCAGCAAAGTAACATGAACCAATTTGTGTTTTAGAAGGGTCATTCTGATAACAGAGTGAAGAATGAACGGGAAGGAGGCATGACTTGAGATGGGAAGACCGATTAGTATTTAACAGAGCAGAGTGAAGGGGACAGCACTGAGCTGGAATCAGCCATTGGAGATAGATGGGATTGTGAGGTCAAGAATGGACGTGATTTTGGGTAGAGGAGCCCGGGTAAAATAAGCTCCTTGAGCATTTTTGAACTTTACACTTGCTTTCATCCTCTTCGTCCATGGCCATATGCTTCCTAAAGGGATGATGATAACCACGATTATCAGAAAGAAGTCTTTTTAATTCTTTCTTCTGAACTGAAGCAAATGTAGAAGTGTGGAGTTCAGAGTTAGAAGATCTTGATGACATGGGAAATTCAATTACCTTGGAGCCTCAGTTTCCTCTTTGGTAAATTAGAGATAATGCTGCCTACATTACTGAACGGTCATGACAGTTAATTGGAATAATGTATTAATGTATATAAAAGCTTATCAGTACTTGATATAGAGCTGGCATTTAGACCTCCATTCACTCAATGTATTGTGCAAGAAGGAAGTTTATTTGGCCAACATAGTCTTTTAAAATATATGTATTTTGGTGTAGGGGTTCATGCCTATAATCCCAGCACTTTGGGAGGCCGAGGCAGGAGGATCACTTGAGGCCAGGAGTTTGAGACCAGCCTGGCCAACATGGCGAAACACCATCTCTACCAAAAATACAAAAATTAGCTGGTATAGAGGCACACACCTGTAATCTGAGGTACTCGCGAGACTGAGGCATGAGAATTGCTTGAACCTGGGAGATAGAGGTTGCAGTGAGCCGAGACTGTGCCACTGCACTCCAGCCTGGGCAAGAGTGAGACTCTGTCTCAAAAAGAAAATATCTATCTATCTATCTATCTATCTATCTATCTATCTATCTGTGTGTATATATATACACACACACATTTATATGTATTTACATATATATTTATATGTATTTTTAATATTAACATTTAATATTAACATATTAACATTGTTTTACAAACCAGAATTTATTGAAGACTTATAATCTGCAAGGCATCATGAAGGATATATAAATGTAAGACATTGTTTCTGTTCTTAAGGGTTTTTGCAATCTGAGAGAAAGAGGATTTGTATGTGTGAAAAGTATAAAATCAGTAAAATATTTAACCTTGTTTTATTTTTAATTTTAATTTAATTTTATTTTTGTTTTGAGAGGAGTCTCGTTCTGTCACCCGGGCTGGAGTGCAGTGTCACCATCCTAGCTCACTGCAACCTTCGCCTCCTGGGTTCAAGCGATTCTCCTGCCTCAGCCTCCTGAGTAGCTGGGATTACAGACGACCGCCGCCATGCCCAGCTAATTTTTTTTTTTTTTTGTATTTTTAGCAGAGACAGGGTTTCACCATATTGGCCAGGCTGGTCTCGAACACCTGATCTCAAGCAATCTGCCTTCCTTGGCCTCCCAAAGTGCTGGGATTACAGGTGTGAGCCACTGCGCGCCCCGACCTAACCTTGTTTTAGGGGTCAGGGAACAATAGAGAATATGAAACAGGCAATGATGAGAGTTATCAGATGTGTTTACTTAGAGGCAGAAGATATCACTTTACCCTAGAGTACTTACAGAAGGCTCTAGGGAGGAGGTCAAATGTGACCTAGATTTTAAAGATGATTTAGGGTTTATAATGTAGGTGTTGGCAATCTACTGCCCAGTACATTATCTGTTTTAATATGGCCTGTGAGCTAAGAATGGCCTTTAAATCATGGAGAAATTGTTTTAAAATAATATTTTGTGACACCTAAAAATTATATGAAATTCAAGTTTAGTGCCAATAAATAAAGTTTTATTGAAACACAGTCACACCCCTCCTTTTAGTATTGTCTGTGGTCAGATACATTTGAGATATAATAGAGGACAGCACTTGTAGCAGAGACCCTATGGCCTGCAAAGGCTAAAGTGCTTACCATTTGTTCCTTTACAGAAAGCTTGCTGAGCCCTGGAGCAGAGGATGCAGAGACATTCCAGGTGCGTAGAAAGCCAACATTAAGAATGGCTCCATTAAAGGAAACAGAAAATGGTCACAAACAGAGAATGAGTGCGCAGGACTTCCCTGGCAGCCATGGAGGGGAGAGTGTCTCAAGGGGTAAGGGGTGTCCGTAGTGCCAACTGGTACCAAGAGAGAGCCCAGAAATGCAACTGAGGAGAGAATCGGAGCTTTTGAATCCTGTGGCAGAAGGAGAGTGAGAGATGGGGAAGGAGAGGCAGAGCTTAAGAAATTGCGTGCGATCAGAAAGGTTTTAGTAGGGAAACACCCATGTCGTTTAAGTACAGTATGAAATGGAATAGACCTATGTATATTCATATGCAGAGGGAGAGTAAAGCAATTAGGGAGGTTTGAGAGAGGTTATGTAGAGGGTCAAGCACAGTGGCTCACACCTGTAACCCCAGCACTTTGGGACGCCTAGATGGGAGGATCATTTGAGCCCAGGAGTTCAAGACCAGCCTGGACAACATAGTGGGACTCCTTCTCTCCCAAAAATAATTAAAAAAATTATTAGCCGGGTATTGTGGTCCCAGCTGCTTGGGAGTCTGAGATGGGAGGATAGCCTGAACCCAGGAGGACAAGGCTTCAGTGAGCTGTGATCATACCACTGCACTCCAGCCTGGGTGACAGAGTGAGACTCTGTCTCAAAAAAAAAAAAAAAAAAAAAAAAAAGGAGGGAGAGGTCTCGAAGGGGTAAGGGGCAGTCCGTGAGCTGAACCAGCCTAGAGAGAGCCTCAGAAATGCAACTGAGAGAGAGAATCTGAGCTTTTGAATCCTGTGGCAAAAAGGAGGAGTGAGAGATGGGGAGAGGCAGAGCCAAAGTAAGAAATTCAGCACAAAGCATCAGAAAGGGTTTTAGGGGCAGGGAAACAACGCCGCCAAGTATGGCACATGAAATGAATAGGACCTGGCGTGGCATTCGCAAGAAGAGGGAGAGTAGCCAATTAGGGTAGGGGAGGTGGTTGAGAAAGGCAGAGGGTCAAGCACAGTGGCTCACCTGTAAACCTGCAGCACTTTGGGACGCCCCTAGAGTGGTGAGATCATTTGAGCCCAGCCCGACCAGCCTGGACAAACATAGTGGGACCTTCTCTCCAAAATAATTAAAAAAATGATATACAACAATTGAATATTAGCCGGGTAACGTGGTCCTAGCCAAGCTTGGGAGTCTTGAGATGGAGGATAGCCTGAACCTGAGGCAGAGGGAGCCTGGGTGAGCTGTGTGATCATAACATCGCACTCCAGCCTGGGCAAGTGAGGTAGACTCGTCTCAAAATTAAAAAAAAAAAAAAAAAAAAAAAAAAAAAAAAAAATTAAAAAAAAATATATGCATATAGGCTATGTAGATATGTAGAGAAGTGCTATTTAAAACAGTGAGGTTGGAGAAATATTGAAACGCATTATTTTAGCAAGACTTCTCTCAACTGATTAGTTCTTGGCCTTGGAAAAGTTGCTTAACATCTTGGCTTGCTTTGCTTATCTATGAAGAGTGGATAATAATACACTCATCAGAGGATCATTGTGAGAAATAGTGAGATGATTCTGTTTGGGCAATGTCAAGAACGTGGGGTCTGCACTTAGTACATTGTCAACAAGAAATAACCTTTTTTTTTTTTTTTTCTTTTTGAGACAGAGTTTTTGCCTTGTAGCCCAGGCTGGAGTGCAATGGCATGATCTCAGCTCACTGTAACCTCCACCTCTTGGATTCAAGTGATTCTTGAACCCTCAGCTCCCTGAGTAGCTGGGATTACAGGTGCCCACCACCATGCCAGGTTAATTTTTGTATTTTTAGTAGAAATGGGGTTTTGCCACATTGGCCAGGCTGGTCTCGAACTCCTGACCTCAGGGGATCTGCCCACCTTGGCCTCCCAAAGTCCTTGGATTACAGGCATGAGCCACTGCGCCCAACCAAGAAATAACTGTTAATGCTGTGATGTTTAAGTTTTTATGTCAACATGGGTAGGCCATGGTAACGAGATTTGTGTCAAACAGGAGTCTGGATATTGTTGTGAAGATTTTTTTAAAGATGTGATTACCATCTAAATGAGTGGACTTTGAGTAAGGCAGGTTACCTTCCATGAGGTGGGGGGCCTCATCCAATCAGTTGAAGACCTTAAGAGAAAAGACTGAGGTTCCCCTAGGGGAGAAGGGATTCTGCCTTCCGACTGCCTTTGGACTTGCACTACAACATTAGCTTTTCTCTGGGTCTCCAGCCTGCTGGGCTCCCCCTCTAAATTTTCAGACTTGCCAGCCCTCAGACTTGTGTGAGCTAATTCCTTAAAATAAATCTCTCTCTCTCTCTATCTCTCTCTCTCCTTCCATCCTATATATTTGTGTGTGTGTGTGTGTTTTTTTTTTGAGAACAGTGACTAATTCAAATAACTTCTGAGTTAGACAGTAATCACTAACAATGAAAGTGTTACTATATTAAGGGACAACTGCTTTATACCCCAGAGACGGCCACATACAATGCTTTGATGTCACCACGTCCACCATATCCCATTTCTGAGACTGTGGCAGACATTGTTAATTGATCACAGTATTCTGTATTGCTAAGACTAGATGTGACCTCAGAATTTTTTAAATACAGGGTTCCAGAAATGACTAACAAGTGATTAGAGTTGGTACTTAACTTGAAATAGATTTAATTCTGACCTAATCCATATTTAGGTATCTACAGCACTTTGCATAAAATTCTTCCTGGAACTTTGCAATTGTGATTAATAGATCTGAACTTGTAGTTTAGAAGTTAAAATTTCGATTTCTTATGTATAAGTCTACAAGCCAGTAAAGTCCTTCATCTTATGTAGTAAGGACCATGTCATATTTGCCTTTTAGATAAGTTTTAAAAAATATATATCTTCTAAAGGTATCAGTGACTTTGAAATTCCAAAATAAAGTTAGAATAAAAAAATAGCCTGAAATTATACTTTTTTATTTCCTCCAAACCTCAGGGAACATTCATATATAATTTATAAAGACTTGGTTTTAATCATTGGTTAAAGTGTTTGGCTAAATATTCTTCTCACTTGAATATGTGTAACATTTATTGAAATCAAGTAAGTGCACATAGCAGAGGGTTACATTTTACATTTTCTAAAGCTCTTGATAAGAGATTCACTTACAAAGCAAGTAGAAATTCCTTGGCTTTTCAAATTTTGGGGGTTCTGTTATGGAAAATTTTTGTACTGTGTATGAAGAAAATATATGTTACCTTGGCGTGCGGTGGTAGTATCATGTTTGTATGCTATCATTTTTTCCAAGTATTTAAGTATTTTAAGATGTTATCTCTTTAGTTTTCACAGCATGCTAGGAAGGAGGAAGGACATGTTGTTCTCACCTAGCAGTAAAATTGAGGTAAGCAGTTACTCACTCTCTTGCATAAGCCACTGATTGAGCTGGGGATGTGATACCAAACAATCTTCTACTAAGTCATCCATTGTGACCCCACAGCATCTCCCGTCAACCCATTAATCCCATTTTCTTCTTCTTAGTTAATAACTACACAGTTGATTCTTGCTTATCTGCTCTGAGGGAAAGGGGAAGAACAGGGCATAATCTCAAATTGTAGATGATACAAAAATAATTTGGATTTGGCGTGGGATGTGTTTTTGAACTTGCATTGGAACCTGGGTGTGTCTGGTGTTCCAGAAATTTATAGCATTCCAAATCAACTGAAGAAACTGTGTAAGGAGAACCCAGGGTGGGGATCGTCGCAAATGCACCTTGTTGGGGGTCTGTCTCCCTTGTTTCCTAGCCCATCGCCTGCCTTCCTCAAGCTCTTCCCTGCTGAGATCAGGCGGCATGATCTCTCAGGTCAATGTGTCAAAACAGCCTAAGGAAAGCTGTTTTTTCTTTCTCTCTAAATCTTATTATAAGGCATTCATCTTATCCTTCTCTTGGGAATGAGAGAAACTGGTATCTTGCATTAGAAATTGTTAATCATTTCTTAAAGTTTGTTTTTTTAAATGTAAAGGTACTGATAAGATAATGTACTAAGAAAAGTTAAAACAAGATTTTTTTGAATATGTAACAATAGGAACAATGTAAGAAAGACACTGCAAGTCTTTGATATTGTGTGGGTGTCAGATAGTGCCAAGTGAATGAGAGACTTCATAGGAAGGTGAAAGTATCTCTTTACTTTACATTTTGTGATGAATGGGAAGAAGTTCTAGAGTTCTTTTGCAGCATTTGCTTGTTTATCCAAAGAAACAAACGCTAGCATTCTGATTTTGTGTATCCTCACTTTCATCCTGAATTGTTCAGATTCTTGGTTGTGGTGATAGAAGCCCACTTTAGCTTAAACAACAAAAGGAAATGTGCTGACAAATGGAACCAGATTAAAATGTCTCACTGACTTTAGTGACAACTGGAACTGAGAACCTAAATGATGTCTGGGCTCTCTATTTGTCTGTCTCGTCTCTGCCTCCCTCTGAAGCCAGCTCCATTCTCTTCCACGGTAGCCTGGCTCTCTCCCTCGTGGAGGAGGTGAGGGAGAGGGTGACATGTCTGGCAGCAGCCCTTGATTTAGTGACTCGAGAAATAAGAGATTATTCTTCTTTTGGCAGCCCGGCAGCGACATTTTGGGAAGATTCCCAGTAGTTCTTTTTGGTTCACGTGTCCATCCCTAAACCAACTGCTGTGTCCAGGAAGAGATGAGACTCCAAGATGAGTCCCATAAAACCCTGTTGTGAAGTTGGTGGTGCCTGTTCACAGAAGGAAAACTGGCAGATGGGCAAAACTAATAGCTACTATGCCTCCATTCATCTTGATTTTCAAATATAGGATTCATCTTACAATAAGCTTATTACTTTTTTTCAGAAAAAAAGCAAAAATCTGCAAGACCAAAAAATACCTAACATTCACAGGATAATCTGAATGTTCTTGTTCAAAATTCTTGGAGGCCATCTCACTGCTATCCCAGGTAGGATTTTGGAATCTTTAAAGGGCTGATTTACTGGGTTCACCAGGTCACAAAGTACCCAGGCATCAGATACATAACTTTCAGGACAGGGAATAGTCTTGACTTGGGTATTTACAAGTAAGCCAAGTTTTACACACAAAAGGAAGTATATTTAGTGGATTGCTGATTGAAGAGGGAAGTGCTATTGAGAAATCATCACCTGGGGGAACCTCATCTTTTCAATGTGTGGGATAAAGATTCCCAGAAGCTGTAGAATTGAAATTGTTGTTGAAAGGATGAGAGAGACCAAGTCTGCGAGTTACAGCAAAATTCCAGGGAAGTTAGAACTACTTAAAAAAGACGTAAAAATAGAAGAAATGAGCTTCATGCGGTGACAGTATCGTAGCCAATGAGGTTTATCCAAGGAGCGATTATTGCTAATTGAAAGCTTTTCCCTATACCCGGCCATGACCACTTGCAATATAGGTGGCATTGGCAATTTTTGACAGTCTCTATGGAGACTGAATATTTCAGTATTAAAAATAATAGAGGAAATGAAAGTGCCCTCTATTGGCAGGTTTAACTGCTTTATACTCTCTTCCACTATTCTGTTGGATGAGGACCCATGATGATTAAAGAAAATAAAGCAGCTACATTTTATTTGCACATGTGAGTAGCTTAAATTGCAATGTTGCTGATATCAGATTTACATTATTTAGAAACATAATTCTGGCTATGGTTTTGAAAATGAGTTGGGAAACAATGGGATGAATGGCAGGGAGTTTTTTTTCCTTTTATTCATATGTAATAATGTACATATCTATGGGATACATATGAGTGTTTGATACGTGCATAGAATATGTAATGATCAAGTAAGGGTATTTGGGGTATCTGTCACCTGAGTGTTTTCAGGGTATTCGGGGCATCTATAACCTGAGTGTTTATCATTTTTGTGTTGATATCATTTTGAGTCCTCTCTTCTGGTTACTTTGACATATATATAAAATTGTTGCTAAGTATAGTTATCCCAGGCTGCTATAAAACATTATAACTTATTTTTCTGTCTAACCCTATGTTTGTATCCATAACCAACCTTTCTTCATCCCTGCCCCCTTCCCACTCTCTGGTATCTATCATTTTATTCTCTGTGTTCATGGGATCAAGTTTTTTAGCTCTTGTATATAAGTGAGAACATGTGGTATTTGTCCTTTTACATCCTGGCTTATATTACTTAACATAATGACCTCCAGTTCCATCCATGTTGCTGCAAATGACATGGTGTCATTCTTTTTCATGGCCAAATAGTATTCCCTAGTGTATATGTACCACATTTTCTTTATCCACTCATCCATTGATGGACATGTAGGTTGATTCCATATCTTTGCTATCATGAATAGTGCTGTGATAAACATGTGTGTGCAGGTATCCCTTTGATAAACTGATTTCCTTTCCTTTGAGTAGAGACCCAGTAGTGGAAATGTTGGATTGTATGGTAGTTATATTTTTAGTTTTTTGAGAAATTCCCATGCTGTTTTCCATAGTGATTGTATTAACTTACATTCCAATCAACAGTGTATAAGAGTTCCCTTTTCTCAGTACCCTCACCAGCATCTGTTGTTTTTTGTCTTTTTAATAGTAGTGAATGGCAGGGAGACGTCTTAGGAGTCCTGTGATAATTCACATAAGAACTGACAGTGACCTCGATGAGGGAAATAGCAAAAAGGTGGAAAGAAGTGGGTGGACTTGAGAAATAGTAGAGGAATATAACTTATATAATATTCTAAGTATAATAGTATAATACATAAGTGTAATATATAATATTTTAACTTATAATAATATTATATTAGAGATGGGGCTGTGGGAAAGGAAGAGTGATGAGGGATCATCCTCCATCTAAGTTTCTGGTTTGGGCAACTGGAAGAATAAAGATACCATTTACTGAGATAAAGAACTGAGAGGAAGAATAGGTTTGGATGAAGGAAGATTCTGAGCTCAGTTTTGGACATACTGAGATTGGAGTTTATAGTTATGTTTATGAATACATCTAAGAGCTGTCTCAAATTAGTCAATACACAAATCCAATTGATTCTTTCCTTTTTAAACATTTTTTAGTATCTTTTAGTTTTTTAGAGACAGGGTCTTGCTCTGTTGCCCAGGCTAGGGTACAGTGGTGCCATCACAGTTCACTGCAGCATTGAACTCCTAGGCTCAAGTGATCCTTTTGCCTCAGACTCCTGAGTAGCTAGGACTACAGGCACATGCCACCATGCTTTGCTAATTTTTAATTTTTTAAATTTTTTGTAGAGATGGGATCTCGCTATGTTGTCCAGGCTGGTCTCGAACTCCTGGCTTCAAGAAATTCTCCCATCTTGTCCTTCCAAAGAATTGAAATTATAGGCAGGAGCCACCATTCCTGGCCTCTTTTCTTGTTTCTTTCTTTCTTTCTTTCTTTTCCATTTTTTCTTTTCTATTTTTTTCCTACTACCACCAACCATAATTCTGTTACAAGATACATTTAGTCATATAAAATTTTTAGTGAATTTAAGCATTCAGCAATTCATGAACTGGGCATCATCAGACCTCAGGTGGTTCAGCACTCCATGAGCCGTGGGAAGTGTGTGAGAGAGGAAACATCAAGTATTCTTGGAAGCAAGACAGAGAAAATACATTTGATTGGCCAATGTGAAAAGTCCCTAGAGGTCAGTTGGTGGTTTTTGATTGGTCAGATTTCTAGTTAAAGGTTATTTGGTGATTTCTAATTGGTTACGCTTAGATTTTGTTTTATTGTTTACATTGAATTGGGATTTGGTTTGCTGATGTAGAAAGCCGAGGCACTGGAGCCATCTCAGCCTAATGGCCTCCTAGTTAAGTATTTTTAATAATTTAGATTTCCATCACCTCACATCTAGGAAGTCAAATACCCTTCTATCCTACACTTCTATAATATTCTTCTGTACAGAGTTGCAGTAGGGATGTGCCCAAAAGTTGGTTTTGCTGGGTCGTCTTCCATCTCACAACATTTGAATGGTTTTCTATTGCCTGCATAATACTTCTGAGACTGCCTGCAAAGTAGCTCCTAATTACTCCAACCTTATCCCACTCTCCCTAATGGTGAGTTTATCTCAGTTTGGCCAAACTAGAACTTCGAATACAATCTACCCCTTCCTGTCTCTGCGTCTGTGCTCATGTCATTGCCTGGGCTTGCTTATCCTCTCTACCCATCTGACCCTTTAAATTCATCCCCCAAGGCCGAGATGTTCTCTGGAGGCCATCATTTCCCTCCACTGTAGCTCAACCTGAGCCTTTCCTTATGTGAGTCTGTAAGTTACTGTCTGTGCCCCTCCCATGCCATGAACATTTATTCTCATATTGCACTGTTTTGCAATGCCCCATTGATTTGATCTCTCTCTACAGGGTTGAGGACAAGGGTCAGGTATCATGCTAATTTCATATCCTCCAGAGCACCTAGCATAGTTCTGTGTACAAGATAGGCACTCAATAACTATTTGTCGACTTGAAATAATAAGGTACGTTTTTCTCTTTCCCACTGGTCTTATCTCTGCTTGAGTAAATGAGGTTATGTGAAAGCAGTTGAGATTAAACATGTAAAGTGGAAGAATAAACAAGAGACAGAGGAGATTTTAATAAAATTTTATGATATAAAAAATCATAGTTACCTGCTAAATCTATTTTTTAAAGCTTTTAAAGCATTCAGATTGCTCCTCTCAACCTGGTAGCATTTTGGTGTGTATAACTAAAAAGCACACAGATGCTAAAAAGCAGAATTATTATTTCAAAAATATTTGGCAACAAAAATAAACTTGTTTTAATTCAAAAGTTCTTGTGATTTTTGTTTCCTCAAATGACTTCATAGCAAAACTTCTCATGAAATTTTAGTGTATATCATCTATTTTGACTCCAAATTGACTTTGGTTAGAGAAATCTCATTTCTTTTAAAAAATCAATGATAAATAAATAAAATATGTAGATCAAGTTTGTTGGCATAGTAACAGATTTAGTTATAAATCAAAGACTTCAATAAAATAAGCTTGGAGTTAGAAATTACCAAGGCATGCTCTAAGAAAAAAATAATAAAAAGAACAAAAGCACTCAAACTGTGATTCAATATGAACATTTTCCCTGTAACCAGCTCTGCTACTTTCATTATAGAATTAGAGAAGTAAACTTAAAGCATAGTTAAGTCAACAGAAACTGTTCTAGGTAAATGAATTCAACCTTCATGGTCACTGACACACAATACAATCTTGTTTCTTTCAGAATTTTTTCTTTAAGTAACTAAGTGACTCAAGCTCAGAAAGTATTTTCTGGTGCAAGTAAGTCTGAGCTTAGCATAAAATATTCTGAATATTTCTTCTTTTCAGATGAGTATTTTAAAAAATAATAGTTCCTTTCTGGAAGGTGTAATTGGCTTTTGGTTTGCATGCCTGCACGTAATTGTCCTTTTGTAGAATATATTTTAGGATAAGCTAGAATTCAGCTTTTCCTTTCTCCATCAAAATCCTACCAATAATTTAGGTTTAGCTCAAATGTTACCACTTTTATACAACTTTGCTTTACTTTTAGGCAGAATGAATCAAATTAATCACCCACTAGACCTTTAGGGGAAGGGACATGTCTTTTTTTTTTCTTTTTTTTTTTTTTGAGATGGAGTCTTGCTCTTGTCACCTAGGCTGGAGTGCAATGTCACGAGCTTGGCTCACTTGCAACTTCTGCTTCTCTGGTTTAAGTGATTCTCCTGCCTCAGCCTCCAGAGTAGCTGGGATTACAGGCACCCGCCACCACACCCGGCTAATTTTTGTATTTTTAGTAGAGACAGGGTTTCAACATGTTGGCCAGGCTGGTTTCAAACTCCTGACCTCGTGATCCACCTGCCTTGTCCTCCCAAAGTGCTGGGATTACAGGCATGAGCCGCCATGCTCAGCCTGGTGATATCATTTTTAATGTTTATTTGTTTACCAAGTTCCATAGTTGAGGTGTATATTTTGGTTACACTTC